AAGGTATGCCACTAGACTAGTCCCAGAACTAAGAGGCACGAGTTACGAGGAAAGGCTGCGGGAAATGCACCTTACGACACTAGAAGATAGAAGAGTAAGGGGAGACATGATCACTACCTACAAAATTCTCAGAGGAATTGACAGGGTAGATAAAGATAAACTGTTTAACACGGGTGGTACGCGAACAAGGGGACACAGGTGGAAACTGAGTACCCAAATGAACCACAGGGATGTTAGAAAGAACTTTTTCAGTGTCAGAGTAGTTAACGGATGGAACACATTAGGCAGTGATGTGGTGGAGGCTGACTCCATACACAGTTTTAAATGTAGATATGATAGAGCCCAGTAGGCTCAGGAACCTGTTCACCAATTGATTGACAGTTGAGAGGCGGGACCAAAGAGCTAGAGCTCACACACACTGTGTGTGTGTGTGTGCGTGTGTGCACACGCGAGTGCGTAAGATAAAGATTAGGAGCGAGGAAGGGGAGATCGGGAACTTGGGTTTTGTGAAGGTGGACATTGAAAGTCTGAGACGTTCTTCAACTACAATGAAAGGCTGAAATTAAATTCCCGTTCTCCTTGTTACGTGGTAGTGGTGACTAGGACAGTGGAGCTGGTAGCGGTCGAGACGATGGTGGTGGTTGTACTGGTGGTGGTAGTAGTAGTAGTGGTGGTGATGACACGTCTGGATGTGGTGCTGGTGAAGTATTGTGGTAGTGATGGTGTGGTTGAGACACACCAATGTTCAGGACACGAGTGGTGATGGTAGTGGTGTCAGCGCTACTGGAAACAGTAGGCAGGTTGTTGTTGTTATAGATTCAGCTCCTCGGAACAAGTTCCAAGTAGCACGGGCTATGGTGAGCCCGTAACTTACCTGGCACAGGAGCGGGGCAAGTAGCACGGGCTATGGTGAGCCCGTAGTGGACTTACCTGGCACAGGAGCGGAGTGTAGGCAGGTGGTAGTGTATATACCTTAGGGTGTAGTGGAAGTAGGTGTTGTTATAGAGAACAGGACATGGAGAGGAGGGAGATAAAGGAAGGGAGAGAGAGATAAAGGAAGGGAGAGAGATAAAGGAAGGGAGAGAGAGATAAAGGAAGGGAGAGAGAGATAAAGAGGAAGAGAAGAGGGAGGGAGGGAGGGAGAGAGATAGGGAGACAAGTATGTATAAGTAGAAGTGGTTATCTTGAGATGATATCTTGAGAAGATTTCGAAGCTTTGGTGTCCCAGCGGCCCGGTCCTCGACCAGGTCTCCACCCCCAGGAAGCAGCCCGTGACAGCTGACTAGCATCCAGGTACCTATTTTACTGCTAGGTAACAGGGGCATAGGGTGAAAGAAACTCTGCCTATTGTTTCTCGCTGGCGCCTGGGATCGAACCCAGGACCACAGGATCACAAGTCCAGCGTGTTGTCCGCTCGGCCGACCGGCTCCCACGACCAGGTAAGTATAAGTTCGCTCTATACTGACTGATGCTAAAGATATCAGACGGTGGTGAAGATATCATTTATGCATTTATGATAACCCGGAATGAATAAAGGGAGAGAAGGATGAGACACGAGTAGCCAAGCATACACTGAACCAGAGGTGTGAAGAACTAAGAAACTTTAGCATACCAAGGTATACTGAAGCAGTATACCTAGGTATACTCCTTCAGTATACCTGCCAACACCACCATAATGATGACCATGCCGACGATAACGAGACGACCACGATGACCCGGATACAACCCACTACAGCAACAGCCAGATGTATAATACAACAAAACCACTGTGTATGCATGAAGTAATCTCCCCCCCCCCCAACAGAGCGCCGCAAAATCGTACCAAACTACCCAAAATGTCCTCCTCAGAGCAACTTTCAATTCCACTAGACAAAATCCTAACGCCCAGCGCACTCTGTCGATTAACAGCCTCGAGCTTCCCAAACAAAAGTCAACTACCCAATTTACTTTCGATAATGAACCCCCCTCCCCCTTCCCCCTACCCCCCCTAACCCACCCCTTCCCCTCTACCCCCCCCTAACCCCCCCCCCCCTTCCCTCTTCCCCCCCTAACCCACCCCCCTCTAATCTCCAATTCTTAACAGCCCTTGCCTAGTCGATTCTTAACGACCCGAGCGATTAACTGATAGTTTCTTCTCTCAATTGGAGAGGTGATTCGCTGGTCGTTAGGGCAGGCTCTCAACCACCTCCCTACCCCCCCCCCCTTAGGGTTAATGAGCACTGTGCTCTCGCCTTAACAGCACGCGTTATAACGATCTTGTTCGATGTGGGGGTGTTGGTGATTGGCCAAGATCAAGGGAGGTCGCGATGCCTGAACTATACGGTAATGGACGAACTGACTGTGGTAGTAATTGTTAGGATGATAATGATGATGATCTGATGATGATGATGATGATCTGATGATGATGATGATGATCTGATGATGATCTGACTATGATGACTATAATGATAGTGACGGCCAAGACAGTGTTGATACACTATATATATATATATATATATATACATATATATATATATATATATATATATATATATATATATATATATATATATATATATATATATATATATATAAACTCGTGAATTAAATAATGATACAAGAGAAGGTTTATAGAAGCAAACGAGAGAGAACGTTATAGTGTTGTGGTTGTCTACACACAACCACAACTCCTGACCAACAACTCACAAGCGAACGCCGGAGACACCGACAATGTGTCACTCCGTAGAAAGCGCTTTGGTACAACTTACAACCCCCCCCCCAAGATGTTATTAAGACCTGCTAACTCCTTCCGCGAATGACTTACAGCACACTTAAATATCTCAATTGTGAATATCAGCGTCTGCCATAATCTGGCATATTATGAATATGGATACATACTTATGAACATGAATACATAATTACGAACATGGATACATCATTGTGCATTCCCCCAATGAACCTTATCCGGCTCTCGTTTCGAAAAAAACATTAATATGGCTTCAATTATTATATATAACAATGTACTCTTTGGACATATTGTACCTATAACATTGTACATAATATGTACAATCTTATAGGCATATATTGTACATAACAAACAACACTGTATTCTTGTACACAACATATATCACCATTAAACCATAGCCTTCAATAACTTTGGGAAAGAAGCATCTCCCTAGTTCTACACATAACCTACGTGAGAGCAGTTCTTAATTATGCATCTCCGACACGAAACACCCACTACAAAATAGCAGACTTTAAAAAAAAAAAATCAGAGATAAACAAGATCATGATCCGAGGGGCTTGAGCTATGAGGAAAACGTGAGTTAACACTGGAAGAGAGGACGAACAAAATAGACATGATAACGACATACAAAATTGACAAAAGTGTACAGTATAACAACTCTCAAAGTGAGGAACGGCAAAACAAGAGAATATAGATGAAAATTAGGAGCTAGCTCCACAAACAACTCTAAA